AATCATTATGACTCCTTTTCAGACCCAACAAAAAAAATTAAAACTACTTCCAAATTAGTCAACAGATTTCAAAAGGAGCCCAACCATATGCCGACTGGTTTCAAAACATGACGAAACTAAAATTACCAAACTCAATTGATTCCATCATAATTGGTATCTTAAAAGATAAAAATAAAAAATCATTAAAATGAAACGGTAAATCAAACAATGATCCAATTTCATCAAGCATGTCCTAATCGAACCAAAAATTGCAAGGCTCTGATTCCATGTAGCTAAGAGACATAACAAGACGTTGAAAGACTATAAATCAGGCAGTGAAATATTTTTTAATAATTATTCATTGATTCTCTCCCTTTTTTCTCTGGCATTTTGACAAACACCGTGTGTGCATTGTACAATGTGTCTCTTACGAGTTACGACTAAAGATTTGCCTATTACAAGTGTGTGTGGCTTGATAGGCATAAAGAGCTAGCTCCATATTGAATCAAAATGACAAAAAAAAAAAATAGATTTGATAATTTTTCCAATAGACTGATTCACATTTGAGAAGGCAAAAAAATCCCAAGCACTACAAATTCAAGTTTGGATTTGAGAATTATTAACTAAATTTAGTAAGAAATTACCTGACATTGATCGGATCTGAGCTAGTATAGGCCTGTCTTGCTTTCATACAGAGATGAGTGAGAAACAGAAAGCGATTGGGGAGGGGATGAAGGTAGGGGTGTAGTGAGAGACGAGATGTGAAGAAGGGAAGAAGAGCCATCAGTGAGAGCTAAGAGTTGTGAAGAACCCATCAGGGAGAGAAGAAAGTGATATCCTACATCAGTTTCAGCATCGATGCCAAACAATCATACCATTCTTCAACCTTACTTTGCCTCTTTGACCTTCAACCAATAGCGAGCATTCATCTACAGTTGATGTCTTGTGTTCTAGGATGCTGTGTCTAGATGCTACATGTCAATCCATAGAGGTTTCGCGTTTATCCATCAAGGATGTCATTAATGCATTCCTCCTTCAATGGAAGGGTGGATGTTGACAGCAAAGAATGAAAATTTAACCATTTATTTTCAAATTCAGTCACTGTGAACATTGGTTAGCTTCCTTGCTTTGTTTCTCATCCTATTGAATTAAACCTTATTAAAGCAATTGGTATTGATAAACAAGTTGACTTTAAATTACCAAAGGNAAAAAAAAAAAAACAGCTTGCTTTGGCCACCCTCGATCTATGGAGACCAACTGTCATGAAGACATTTTTCATTAGGGTAATCTGCTCAAATGTTCTTACCGATGACAGCCGCAAAAACAATCAACAATCCTCCTGTCATTGTACCTCTGATCCACAACTTTTTCATTGACAATCATTATGACTCCTTTTCAGACCCAACAAAAAAAATTAAAACTACTTCCAAATTAGTCAACAGATTTCAAAAGGAGCCCAACCATATGCCGACTGGTTTCAAAACATGACGAAACTAAAATTACCAAACTCAATTGATTCCATCATAATTGGTATCTTAAAAGATAAAAATAAAAAATCATTAAAATGAAACGGTAAATCAAACAATGATCCAATTTCATCAAGCATGTCCTAATCGAACCAAAAATTGCAAGGCTCTGATTCCATGTAGCTAAGAGACATAACAAGACGTTGAAAGACTATAAATCAGGCAGTGAAATATTTTTTAATAATTATTCATTGATTCTCTCCCTTTTTTCTCTGGCATTTTGACAAACACCGTGTGTGCATTGTACAATGTGTCTCTTACGAGTTACGACTAAAGATTTGCCTATTACAAGTGTGTGTGGCTTGATAGGCATAAAGAGCTAGCTCCATATTGAATCAAAATGACAAAAAAAAAAAATAGATTTGATAATTTTTCCAATAGACTGATTCACATTTGAGAAGGCAAAAAAATCCCAAGCACTACAAATTCAAGTTTGGATTTGAGAATTATTAACTAAATTTAGTAAGAAATTACCTGACATTGATCGGATCTGAGCTAGTATAGGCCTGTCTTGCTTTCATACAGAGATGAGTGAGAAACAGAAAGCGATTGGGGAGGGGATGAAGGTAGGGGTGTAGTGAGAGACGAGATGTGAAGAAGGGAAGAAGAGCCATCAGTGAGAGCTAAGAGTTGTGAAGAACCCATCAGGGAGAGAAGAAAGTGATATCCTACATCAGTTTCAGCATCGATGCCAAACAATCATACCATTCTTCAACCTTACTTTGCCTCTTTGACCTTCAACCAATAGCGAGCATTCATCTACAGTTGATGTCTTGTGTTCTAGGATGCTGTGTCTAGATGCTACATGTCAATCCATAGAGGTTTCGCGTTTATCCATCAAGGATGTCATTAATGCATTCCTCCTTCAATGGAAGGGTGGATGTTGACAGCAAAGAATGAAAATTTAACCATTTATTTTCAAATTCAGTCACTGTGAACATTGGTTAGCTTCCTTGCTTTGTTTCTCATCCTATTGAATTAAACCTTATTAAAGCAATTGGTATTGATAAACAAGTTGACTTTAAATTACCAAAGGCTCTTTGTGATTCCTAAGTTTGCTGCAGAAAGCACATACTGATGTGAAACATTCCATTATCGAGGAAGTCAAAATCATGGATTTGAGTAAGGCTGAAATTCCTGTCCTTCATCAACTTGAGGATGAAATGACATCCTATTAGTTTCCTTCCTCATCGCGAAAAAGGATGTGCATATCAACTGAACTTTGATAATTGATTTTTCAGAGGTTTTGGCATTGATGATCGTGGTATATCCCACTTCAATACTGCAAAAATCAGGTCAAGTTTTCTTAAATTTGGGGGAGAATGACGCGGAACATGTTAACAAGAATGGGGAAATTTCAGACGAAATGGATCATACATTCTGCACTTTAGGGCTAATTTATGATTGATCCAATGTCAGTTTTCCTAAGGCTAGTTAGCCAATGGATTATTTTTTTATATTTTCTAAGGCTTTCAAAGACCAATGATATCATAGTATTTTAATTTTCGAACACGTAATTTGGGTAAATTCTTAGCCGTTGGATTGTTTTATGTGGCCCTAGATGCATCTAGAATTGTAGTCAACAAGTCTGTAGTTTTCTATTTAGTTGGCATACTTGGATTATGCAGGTGTATATGCATGCTTTTGATTCAATGTAGAAGAATTAATTGATTCTTTCAACGCAATAGGCCTTCACGAAAATTCAGTTGTTCCTCTTCAACATCTGGCAACAATTAGACAAATTAAAAGCAGAGTGCCAAGAAAATCATCTCCTAAAGATGGCAAATTCGTGCAAATTAAACCGCTCAAATATTCCAATTGTAAAGGCACAGGCTTTCATATGTATTCAGTATTTCTCGTTCAGTATAAATTTACATATACATAGATAAACAGCATAAGCTCAAAACTTACATGAAGTGCAATGCTGAAGTGGTCTTCAGATCCAAAGGTTGCATTGGTGCCAACAAAATTATTTCCTGGAGAAAAGAGAGGCATGAAGAAATAACGATAACGAAATGTCATCCAAGATAGCTATGGCGATGGTGTGATACACCACTGTACATGTTCCAGAAAAGTGAAGCAAACAACTTAAGTGCATTGTTTAGCACTCAAAAGAGAGGGAAAAAAACTTAACACAACACAAAAGTGTTTCAGCAGTCATCGCAAGGACCAAATTTTAGTTGTTTATCATATAAGACTAAACTTTTTTTCACAGCAAATGAATCTTAACAAAACAAAAAAGACCCTAATAGAAGGCAATGCAATTGATGTGGCCCAAGTCAACCAGGCAATTAAGAAATAACAGACATGATCCTGTCTCCATTTGGCAATTATCAACAGAAATCCTCCCAAGCAATTAACAATAGATCTTAACCTATTTGAATTTCAAAGGAGAGTAAAAGGATAACAAAGAATTAGACATATGACATTTTTGACAATCATTTCCTCAATAATCTATTCAGAGAAGTACAACTGCAATTTCCAGAATTCTTAGACCCGCAGAAAAATAGACAAAGATTCATCTCACAAGGCACTCCAATGAAGTTTTACATATGGTCACGATGACTGCATGTAACATACCTGGAAGCATGGCAAAGAAATCGAGAGTGACAAAGTAAACCACTGCTAAATATGAGTACAATAACTGATACGAAATGAATGTTACCTTCAGCTCAGAGCCTCAGATAACCATCACCATTATAATTATGAGTACAAGGAAAATAGGAGATCAGGGATTAAACTATGCATTGGTTTTTTGTAAGTTCATGCTAGAGCAACAAAGTTTCAGCACAAAATTGGTAACCGTCAAACTCATAAATAAAGATCAAAATTTTGTTTCGGTCATCCAAGAAATAGAACATTTCGAAAATATTTTGAAAACGATTCGAAAATATTTTGAAAACGTTTTAGAAATAGAATAAAAACGAATTAAAATTTTAAAAATTTATTTCCAAAACATTTCAAAATATTGATCAAAATATACAAAAATATCTTTGAAACATCTTGAACATTCCAAATTTTTGGTGAAAACATATCGAAACATAGTGAAATACCTTGAAACATTCGAAACACCTTAAGACATTGGAATTTCAATTCAATCATTTGTTCGTTTCGGTATGCAGAAACATTTCATCCATTTCAAAACGAAATTTTGATCATTGCTCACAGAATACAACCACCCATAAACAGTAAATTATGATACTTCTTTCATGAATCAACTACCAAAAGATCCCCAAGCCAAACCCTGAGAAATAATTGCCACAAAAAAGAAAGGAAATTAGGTAATTAAGTAAATAAACATATAGACATAGGCACGGCTTAGGAGTGAATAGCAGAAAAGGACGGTACCAAATACATGAACTCAAAGCATTTACCTGAAGCTCTAAGTGTCTTTTTCCCTTTTTTTTGTTCATTTTTATTTGGTTGAACTGGCATTTACCCTTTCCCACCTTCAGGAAAGAGCCAAAAACATATAAAGCTATTCCAAATGCTTTTTTTCCCGGATATAGCTGCAATTCTTAATTACAATGGGGACAGAGATAGAGAAGTTCAAATTGCAGAAGTAACACATTGAATGGCAAAATGATGCAACCCGAGGGGAAGCAATATGAAAAACATTTATTTAGAGAAACAATTATGCAGAAATATTAAAGAACCCATTTCACTCCAGGAAAAGAAAAAATAAAATATTCAACTACTTTTATTCAAATAGATTTTCAAGCTCCCTCAATTGAAATCCCTGAGTCTTCTCTTTAACACATCCATCGACTTCTTTCGAGAACTCTGCTTCGAACTTCTATTTGAAAGGCTGCCAAAAAGTCCATCAGGGGAATCCTTGTATTTCTCACAGATAGTAGCCACCTTTTTATAATCCAAAGCATTGTAGTTTTTCTCCCGTATCACAGGATTCATAAAGTTCTCAGGCTGACTGCTCAACAGAAGGTTTATCAATTGCCTTGCTTCTATCAAGCAGCCTCGGAAACTGCTTTCTTTGTATATCTCACTCAAGCCGGTGCTGTGAAAGCGCTCATCTGCAAAGGATTCCAATGTCCTAAGATCATAATTGATCCCCATAACTGCATTGGCACTGAACCTCTTTACACTGTCACTAAGAAAAGTTTCCACAATAGAGCTAGATATATGCTCAAGAGCCCCACTCCCAATTTTATACAAAGCATCCAGAGGTAAAATTTGCTGGGCAGTGGACATCAGAGTTTCAAGGTAAATAACCACCTCATTTACATATTCATTTCCATTCTGGGGTGTATCATCCAAAGTCCAATTCACGTTTTCTGTAAGTGACATGAATTCATCCAACTTGGAGTTAACCAAACTTAGGAGTGCAAGATAAGCTGCATCCCTTGAAGTTTTAAGAACAACCTTGGCTGTCAAACTAGCTTGAGGCCTTTCAACTGATCGGACTGGGATCCCACATTGTTGGGCTGCATGTTGAAGAAAATAATCACAAGCTCTTTCAAGAACAGCTATGTTCGCAGCAATCTGCATTGCCTGAGATACGCCAGTGGTACCACTGCTAATTGTGTTCAGTATAACTTCATTTAAAATATCAATCAAAAGCTTGTCTAGGTACTTTCTCACGAAATCAAAGAAATTCATCTGGCCCCCACAAGACAAGTAACTAACTGAGTCCTTGATGAATGATCTAAGAATACGGCAACAATCAGGTACCATGGAAGAGAATGGAGCAATATATGGGAAAGCTGGCATTATATCTGACGTTTGAATATGGAACAACAGGACGTTTGCTTGGTAGTCTGACTCCTTTTTCATTACCATTTGCTCCCACGTGTCATTGGCAAGGACATCAGTAATTTGTTGCCGGCACTCTGCTAAAAGAAGCTCATGATATTTCTCACGGCTACTGTTGAGAGTCTCAAGAATGGGACCGACTTCATATCCATATTGTCTAAGGGTTGCCCCAAGAAGAGTAACATAGTCCTTGACCAGGAGAAGATGGCTCGCAGCATCCATGTGAGAAAATTGCTCCTCCAATACCGAAGTCACTTTACCCACAGCTGTTTCCCACATCGTCTCAACCTGATTAGACAAGAGTAGCCCACCAGCAGTCCTTAAGACCCGATCCTCAACTATAAAATACCCCGCAATTTGAGCCAAATAGGTCTGATGGGATTCAATAAATGGTTGCGCCGAGGAGATTTGCAAGTCTGAACTCAGCTGCAATAATCGATTCTTATAGTAGTATTCTCGAAACTGCTCTAAGATTCCAAGGCAATTGTGGATGTGATTCGCCCGATAAAGAGGTGTAAGGTCAAACTTAAGAACAGAATTTTCGTCAATTTCTTCAACATCTAAAGTATAAGTAAAATCCCCTCCTAACCCCAAATAGCTCTGTTCTTCAGCTTTCCTCTGACGAGCTAGCATATCCTCATCCCTCTGACGGGCCGAGGCAGCATAGCCCATTGCTGTTTGCCCAATATCCTTTGCAGTGCTCCTTATGTGAACTAACCATTCATTAACTTCACTACAGACCTTCTTCTCTATGTGGGATTTTATTATTGGTATTCTTATCTCTATCAGCATCTTGAGTGCCTTAACAGGAATATGCTGCAAATATTTTTTCTCAACCAGATCAACAGCTTTCAGAGCAGGGTAAAACTGACCTTCAGAAATATGATTGTTACACTTCACGCAAAGATCCAACACCTGAATACAGTTCCTCGACATCTTAATGGCTTCAGTTACATTCTTCTTAATCGAATAAGATTCAAGGAGTTCTTCAAGTTTCAAAAGAAGTGCACTCCCAACTTCCTGTAACCTGAAGTTATCACTGGCAAGTTCACTTTTCAGCTCTTCAGCATCAACCAGAACACCACGAAGCTCGTCGACTGCAGAAATAAATTCTTCATAGTGGAGCTTGCAAAGCTCCTCTATTTCAACCTCCTTCTTCTTCATGACATTCTTAAGCTGATGCAAGAGGGCGTCAGGTTTCCCCATTTCAAAAGAATGCCTGACCATAGGACCCAAATCCTCACCATTACCAATCAATGTTGCAAGGATCGTGTCATCACCCACATCCCCATTCTCTGTTACTGTTCTCCTCTTGGTTTTAGCATTCATTGTTCCTTATTAATGCCTGAATAACCATAATACAAAAAACTACATATTAATCACTCCAAAATTGAAATTACACTTGATGGAAATTAACATTATAAGTTTTTATTTTATTTAATCACACCCAAGCATGGAAATGAGAGGCACAATTAGATACTTCAAATTCCAAATGGGTAAGCCTATAACATAAGCTTTACATAGTACAGGTATCAAATACAAGGAAAAACGAACACCCACTACATAAGCCGCTTAAAAAAACCATTTTTTTGGAAAGATATTCTAGACTTTTATAGATTTATTAGCTACTCGGGCATTACCAAATGAACCCTTTGCAAATGTATCTTCATCACGTTGAACACCATAAGAATCAAATGATGACGTCTTCGATTAACAAATTCAATTATACCCAACTTGGTTTGACAAGCTAATCAGAATATGAACAAAAACACACCAATTAGAGGGAAACTCAGAGAATTTACCCGAAAAAGAAACTGCTGTGTATGTGGAAGAACTCGGAGAAAATAACGCAGATGCTGTCTCGCTTTCTTCCCTGAAGAGATCTTCCCAAAATTTTCCCTATGTTTCCTTCACTTTCCCGGCTTCTCTAGTTAATCTACACTGCGATATCTGTCGATGTTTTTTATTAGGGTGTAATTACAGAAAGCATAAGATTTGTCAAAAAATACACTTTTTCCCCTAAAATCCTGAAAAATATCAAACGTAATTCATAAAAAAAAAAAAAAAAAAAAAAACAGAATTTGAGATTTTTAAAAAAAATACTTGTAATACAAAATCATTAATCTTATCAAATTTAAGGCTGACGACGAGATGATGGATCGTGTCATATCAAATTTATGTCATTTGGAGTCTATGTCGTGTAAAAACTTCTTTAATTTATACTTGACTAATTCTGGTATAGTGTATAGTTGAGTCCGTAACTCATATAAGTGGTGTTTAATAGGTGTATATTACATATAAATCATGTTTAATATGTGTGTATTGTGTTTAGTTGACTTAGTGTTGGGTCGTTTATTTGACATAATACCACAAGTACATCCGTCTCGAATAAGGTTAAATTTAAACTCGTTAATTTTGAATTGATTTTGCATCGGGTTCACAATTCATGTCTCTATATGTCATTATTATGAGAATTATGAAAAATGCTAACTTTATTAATTATAAATAAGTTTACATCAATAAATTTTAATATTCTAATTATTACAAAAATCAATGATATTCAATCACAATCATTCTATTGATTTTTATGGTTTGAAATAATGTTTAACTAAATAACTATGAACAAAAGTATAATCGATGTAAATATAAAAAAAAAAAATTCTAGGCTTGGCGATAGAGATAGAGATGGAGAGGGAGGGAGGGAAAGCTGCCCGTTTTGCTGGAAAAACAACAAAGAAGAGGGTGCGAGTGTGGCGGTTGAGGCTCGGGTTCGTAAATCGTGATTGTAGAAGTTGGTCAACAATTGAGAGTGGAAGATGATAAAAAGGAAACACGCAACTCAACAAAAGGGTGCACATGATAGAAAGTTTATGTTCGTAATTTCTACAATATGTATTTTTGAAGCAAAAAATGATAAGAGATTGAGTGTAATTTTTAAAAAATTAAAGGAAGAGAGTATATATTTTTGACAAACATTGAGAGCATCGAGTATAATATACCCTAAGACGTGGTGATTATTTTAATCAGAAAGCGACTTAAACGATGGTGTCATTCCCTCTACCATTGTGTATATAAGCTGTATGGTAAACGGCAAGAAGATTCGCACTTTGAAATAATTTTTGGAAATATCAGGTGATGTTTTTGGCTTAAAAACACTAATCCAATTAATGCGTTTTTTCAATTGATGCTTTTCTAACGGCGTCAGCGCTAATGAAACATTTAGTCTTTTTCAAATTTTTTTAATTATATTAAATTCACCACTATGTTATTGTCTTTAATTGTATTACTTTGTATATATACTAGTAATAACTCGTATTTAAAGGTACTAAATAACACAAAATCTCAAGTCCTCCGGTACCGGTCATATAGTATAAATATTTTCAAACAGTAATTTATTTTTTTTAGTTACACAATTTAAAATTAATTTGAAAACACTATTTTCTAAAAAAAAAATGACAAAACTTCTCTAAAAACACAACCCCTAAAAAATATCAATATGTACATAATTTATATATTTTACCATTATACCTAAAAAATATCTTTATTTCTTTTTTGGGTAGGAGTCGATATTGACATGTGTGTGTTGATGGATGTATAAAAAAAGAAAATTATATGAGAGATGGGATAAACTTATAAAAGATGAGAGTATATTTCAAGCCCACAAAATTCAATGTAGAATTTCCTCCACATTGGTTGGGCACAAATAATTACATAGCCAACATGTATCAAATGGTTATAAGCGTTAATCGGCTCATTGTGTAAGTCACACAATCGTCCACACCACGTTACACCATTATAATATGCGGAGGATCGATAAAATGGTAAAACGTTTGGCGACGAACTTTCATGTTGGTCTAAACCTTGATGTTGGTGTTTTGTCATCAAGAATTAGAGGTGTTTGGTGGATACGAATTTTGTTATTTGATATGTGAGGATGAACCTTGGTTCGTTTATAATACCTGTCTAATGACCTTTTAGGCATTTTAGTATAAGATTTTACATCAAGTGGTGTCTCATTGAGAAGGCTCATCAAAAATAAAAGTGTACAAAAGTTATGACTTTAGATCTTACATGTATCACTTACCAAATTGGGATGACTAATCACATATAACACTAACGACATTGAGATGACTAAACACAACAATGACTCACATATATCACTGAAAATAATAATAAATGATAATACTAATATAACTGAACACTATAAAACCCGATAAATTACTATTATTTCATTGTCCGAGTCGTTCTTATTTGTGCATGTGTTGTTCATTGGAGTTGTGATCCCTCTGGCATGTACTCATCTTATAGATATTATTGTTCAGTAGTCAAAATATTATTTTGCTCAATAGTTGTTAACTCTCATTCATATGTGTCATGGTAGTAACAATCTTGAACATACAATATCGACACCTATAAACTAATATCCTCTTGTTCTCAACTCGGAGTCATCTAATTGTTGATTCATATTCTTTCTTGCATTGTCAGTAAAATGTCGGTGTGACATGGATACGTTAAGTTTTACTAATTTTATACATAATGCACTTGATTCATTAACATGAAATGTCCACTCTCGATATAGTCCGACTCAATATCTTTTTGGATAAGTATATCACTCTTTTTTATAATCGTAGTCTGTTTCTTTTAACAATTGCATTCATTTTTGTCAACTAGTCTGACATAATATAAATTAAATATGCCAACTATATCCTATTGACCCAGTCATAGAGTTTAGATAATTTCTAATTATTGACTAAAAAAAAAAAATTACACGTGTTTTATTTTTATTGAATGAAAAAGTGAAAATACGGAACTAAAAAATAAAATTTGATATTATGAATATGATTAAATATTTAATTTAATGATAATATTACATCAACATCATCGCATATTATTATCGTTCAATACTAACGTATCAAATTAACAAAATAAATTATTACTTTTTAAATAGAGTAGTAATTAGATTACATGGAGCTATAGTAACTTTGCATGGATAAGTACTTATTAAATTTTATAGAATTTATTTATTATTAGATAATAATATTACAATAATGATGTGATATTAATGTTAAATTATATATTTTCTCCATAATTAGACCATTCCTCATGCGGTGGCAATTTACAACTTGTCATTTTAGCATGCACCGGGAGGTCAAACCTCATCCTAAATGGATAGAAGCGGGAGCCCAACCATGTACAACCGTTAAAATCAAACCTCCCTCTCTCTCTCTCTCTCTCTCACACACACACAAATGGCGACTGTGACGCCAATCTCCTCCATTTTCTCAACCTCTTCAGCTTCCAAATCCTCATCAACCCTTTCACATTGCCCATCCAAACTCACCCTCAAAACCCATCAGACCCACAAACAATCCACTCTGACAAGAAGGGAGTTTCTCAAAGGACTAGCGTTCATGCCACTGATTCTCTCTCCTCCACCTTCAGAAGCTCGAGAGGTCGAAGTGGGTGCGTACCTCCCACCATCGCCTTCGGACCCTTCTTTCGTTCTCTTCAAAGCCTCTTCCAAAGACACTCCTGCTCTTCGCGCAGGTAATATATACATTACTTCATAAAGCTTTCTTCATTTTGGTTGATCTGTTGGCTGTAGTGTATTGACATTGGTGGCAATAACTGGCATACACTATCTAATTGAATAGGCTGAACAGGCTACGAGTTGAATTTATACGAATTCTTACAGTTTCTTCCTAATGTTTGAACCTACAGTCTCACAATTTGAAATCTATGATAGCTAATTGACACAAATAATGCAAAACAGAGTTAGGTCCGTAATAAGTCTACCCAATACTAGCAAAGACCAAATTCAGCAATGACCCTGTTATAGATTTTTTGCATTTGCTACTTGAAGAGAAGTTCAAAGGCTTTGTTTGAATGTTGGAAAAAAGTGAGGAAAGGAAAGGGAAGGAAAATGCTCCAAATTCTATTCAATAGAAGCCATTTTCCTTTTGTTTCCTTAGAAATTTTCAAGATCTAAATGGATGTGAAAGTGCTACAAGGTCGGGTAGTGTTTTGCATGTGAATTGCATTTTCCAGCACAAATATATTGTTATGAGCTGGACTTACCCTAAAAATCGGTTTGCAAGAGAAACGTGTCCAAGAGTTCATATACACACATCTAGTATTATATTTAATTGAAGTGAGATCGTAACATTCTACCACGCTTCCATCGCCGACATCTACGACTGCCCAGTATATGGACACTGACCAAATGGTATCAATGAGACAACACTATGCTCATACATAATATCAAGTCATCTTAATCTAACTTATGTGTTGCCTCTTCCATGACTCAACCACAGAGAGCCGTAACCCTACGCTTAATCCCATACTTGAAGTGGTGACTTTATCTGATACCAATTGTTATGAATTGTTCATGCAAATCGACTTGCAATGGAAATGTGCACAAGAGTTCATATACACACATCTATTCTTATATTTAACTGATGTTGGATCATAACATAGATAGGCAAACATTTTGCTTAGGTAGCAAGTAGTCAAGAGGTAGAATTTATGTTTGACAATAACAAGGTTACCGATAGTGTTAGAAAGAAACCCAATATGACTTTTGTCCCATAGGACTAATCTGATATCATGGGATTGACATCTCTTAGTTGGATGTTCAGTTGGGTGAACCCACTGCACAAATATCATTAGCTATTGGCATTCACAAATTTGCAGTTAAGTTTGCAAACGCCAAAATGTTGATTGACATTCACTATCAGTGCCTCAGAGCAACAGTGAAAGAATTTGAGAGGATTCAACCTCTTAAGAAATTGTTCATTGAGGACTGGGGTTATTTCTTTAGTTCTCTTGAATAGAGCCTTCAGGCCTTAATTTAGTGTTTGACCATTACCTGTGACCCGAATGTCAATATATCTTTAGACAGTGTCTTACCTGTATCTCTTATTCGTAGTTTGCTTGTTCATTAGGCCCTGTTTATGAAGCACGGATATTCTGTCACGGTCAACCTATCTATATAAGATACTGTATCGAATACAATACTCGTAAGATGCTCAAAGATATGAATTCAATAATAAATAAAATAATATGTGGATACTTCAATACACAAAACAATAGGTAAAATTTTTAATTTAATATTTACCCCTTTCTTTCGAATTCACATACAACATAGCACATCAACAAAAATTAATATGACTTAGAAGACAGATGTATATTTTTTAAGTATTATCCACTATCACATACAAAAAGAGTATAAATGATTTAATTACGCTATGATCTTAGCAATAAATGCTACTAAGCAAACCAACTAGTTAAATATTTATTCTGATTTCTTTAATGGTCATGTTCACTTTGTGGATATTCCTTATTGAGGCAATATATACCTTTTGGGAAGTGAAAATTGCACATTTACTTATTATTGTTAAAAAATTACTAAAAATTATAACTGTCAAGTCAATAAATAATAGTAAAATGATAAAATATTTTTTGTTATGGATATCTTAGCCATATCCATATCCTATTTTTGTAGGTTTTGTTGTATTCGTGCTTCTTAGGGCCCTATCATTCTCGATCTTCACTGTAAAGATGTGATGAGTGTAACGAGCAATTGAGAGGACTCACCTTTTTTTTTTTTTTTTTTTCTCTTTTAATTGAGAGGACTCACTGAATCTATGATCAAATATCATATCTTCAAGCGAATAATTTTGATGGACTTCACCTGAGAAGAAAATCCAAGACGATGAGTTGAAATAATTTCGAGACATATACCTTTGGAACTTCACCAAATTTAAGGAGGCTCACCTGATTATCTTACTACACATTACAAGTTCATTTTGGAGACCAATGAGATATTCATGGTAAACACCGTTCTTGACATTCAAATTCCTGCTTTAATGAAGTGTGTGTGGGTTGTCTCAGTGTATGTCTGTGTCTGTTCTGTTAGTTCCAAGTGATAGGGATACAAGAACAGAGTTATATTGCCTGATGGATAACTTTTGGATATCTTGGAATCTTGACAGGCTAATTTCAGATACAATTTGCTGACAGCCTTGTCATCTGTTTTTGCAAAGAGCAACAAGCTGATGAATATTTGTAGCTTCGTCTTTGGTGGAGCCCTGAAATCACAAAGTTCAAAATGTCAAATAACACTTCAAACACAATGTTTCGTTTAACGTGGAGATCAAATAATTTCACAACATAAAATGCAAGCAGGCTCCTCTTTTCCTGCTCACCAGCGCTGCTGGGTTGTACATGATGCCTATTAGATAGAAAACCAGCTTATCAGGGTTTGGGGTCATTGATTTGTAGTCCTTGCCCATGATTATGTGATTATTAGACGGTGTAACATAAGTAGTTATACTTTGACATGCCCACTCATGTGCAAGTTAGATTTTGGGCCTACCACATAAAAAAGTTTTAATTATCAGTGTAGCGGTGAAATTTGAACATAGGATCTCCTGCTCTAATATCACAATAAATCACCGTCTACTCTAGAAGCTTAATGCCAGTAGAGCGCATATAAATTAAATATTTATACTTCAACACTGTTTTTTCTCTCTTTTAAATCAGTTTTTGGTAACTTTATTCCTTCTCTGTATGATTATGCAACTTTGAATTTAGTTGGTTACAGGAAACGTGCAGCCCTACAAATTCATCATTCCTCCAACTTGGAAACAGACACGTGTAGCCAACATTCTATCTGGCAATTACTGTCAACCTAAGTGTGCGGAACCTTGGGTGGAGGTAAAATTTGAAGATGAAAAACAGGGAAAAATTCAGGTGGTTGCTTCTCCCTTGATACGCCTAACCAACAAGCCCAACGCAACAATTGAAGATATTGGGAGNCTTTTTTTTTTTTTTTTTTCTCTTTTAATTGAGAGGACTCACTGAATCTATGATCAAATATCATATCTTCAAGCGAATAATTTTGATGGACTTCACCTGAGAAGAAAATCCAAGACGATGAGTTGAAATAATTTCGAGACATATACCTTTGGAACTTCACCAAATTTAAGGAGGCTCACCTGATTATCTTACTACACATTACAAGTTCATTTTGGAGACCAATGAGATATTCATGGTAAACACCGTTCTTGACATTCAAATTCCTGCTTTAATGAAGTGTGTGTGGGTTGTCTCAGTGTATGTCTGTGTCTGTTCTGTTAGTTCCAAGTGATAGGGATACAAGAACAGAGTTATATTGCCTGATGGATAACTTTTGGATATCTTGGAATCTTGACAGGCTAATTTCAGATACAATTTGCTGACAGCCTTGTCATCTGTTTTTGCAAAGAGCAACAAGCTGATGAATATTTGTAGCTTCGTCTTTGGTGGAGCCCTGAAATCACAAAGTTCAAAATGTCAAATAACACTTCAAACACAATGTTTCGTTTAACGTGGAGATCAAATAATTTCACAACATAAAATGCAAGCAGGCTCCTCTTTTCCTGCTCACCAGCGCTGCTGGGTTGTACATGATGCCTATTAGATAGAAAACCAGCTTATCAGGGTTTGGGGTCATTGATTTGTAGTCCTTGCCCATGATTATGTGATTATTAGACGGTGTAACATAAGTAGTTATACTTTGACATGCCCACTCATGTGCAAGTTAGATTTTGGGCCTACCACATAAAAAAGTTTTAATTATCAGTGTAGCGGTGAAATTTGAACATAGGATCTCCTGCTCTAATATCACAATAAATCACCGTCTACTCTAGAAGCTTAATGCCAGTAGAGCGCATATAAATTAAATATTTATACTTCAACACTGTTTTTTCTCTCTTTTAAATCAGTTTTTGGTAACTTTATTCCTTCTCTGTATGATTATGCAACTTTGAATTTAGTTGGTTACAGGAAACGTGCAGCCCTACAAATTCATCATTCCTCCAACTTGGAAACAGACACGTGTAGCCAACATTCTATCTGGCAATTACTGTCAACCTAAGTGTGCGGAACCTTGGGTGGAGGTAAAATTTGAAGATGAAAAACAGGGAAAAATTCAGGTGGTTGCTTCTCCCTTGATACGCCTAACCAACAAGCCCAACGCAACAATTGAAGATATTGGGAGCCCTGAGAAGGTCATTGCTTCGCTTGGTCCTTTTGTCACAGGAAACACATATGACCCAGATGAACTCCTAGAATCTTCAATTGAGAAGCGTGGTGATCTGACGGTACCATTCTACTTCTCTTCCGTCTAATCATATAGTTTATTTGTTTTCTTCTTCTCTCTCTCTCTCTATATATATATATACTCCTGTTGGAAAGAAGATAAGAAGCAAAAATAAGTTGCAATATTACTTCTGTAGACTGCTGTGCCACATGGCACAGAAGCAGAGCAGCCATATGGTTTCTCACCAGTTGTAGATGTTGGATTTGGTGGCATCTTGATCCAATTTGGAAGGATTAGTTGGGATAAGGTGGTGGGAAAAAATTATTATGGTTGTGTAACGTGCAAAAACTCTCAAAAGAAGGTAAGATCACCACCCTCAAATTGTAAATTTAACCATCCACTAGTTTGCTTATACATGAGATTTGCTGCCTGCTGCCATCCTAGCTCCAAAATAATTGTGAGATGGGACTAAGAGGGTAAAAACATGACTTCTAGTACATTGTAGGTGAGTAATTTGCTGTTTGTTATAGGGGACGAGGGATTTGGAAACTCATGAAAAACTAGTGGTGTTTTTCTTGAATAGGTTCAGATGTATATCACAAAATCATCTGTGATTATAATCTGAGGTTTTTCTACAAGTTTTTGGAAAAGAAGCATAGGTCATCCATGCCAACCGCCATTTCATCTTGAATGTCACATTTTAGTTTTACTTTTCTGAATGCTATGAGCTTGCTGTGAGCTAACTATAGGTGCTGCCCGATGACAATGATAATTTATTGACACCCCTTTAATTCTTTTTAGAGCTTTGTATATATGCCTACTTATCTTCGGTACTTGATATCGTTTTTATTTGGGAAGGGAAGGTGCAGACATACCTTCATTATCTATATCATTTCTGTTCAGACACTACATGTTTTTCGACAATTCTCTTTATCAATAACGATTGCAATTTTTGCTTTTTGGTGTATGCAGTATTATAAATATGTTCTGGAGACTCCATTTGCCCTGACGGGTTCACACAATCTTGCAAAGGCAACAGCAAAGGGAAATACTGTTGTACTATTTGTGGCCAGTGCAAATGATAAACAGTGGCAAACGTCTGAAAAAACTTTAAAAGCAATGCTTGATTCCTTCGAAGTGTAGCTGGAGCCAAAGTCATAGTTAATTCATTTGCATTTTATTTGTTTATATGCTGAATTGCTGAGAAAGAACAGTACTCTTTTGTCGAATTTTTTGCTTTGAATTTTTGGAGTTTTGTGGTTCTAAATCATCCAGGAAAATAATAGCAAACTTAGATTGTGTCAGACATTCTGCATTATATAACTGTTTCCACTAGTGTGTACCTATGGATGATTCATTATGGGGGTGACAATAGACTCGTTTTGTTCGTGCTACGCCATTTGGTTATTCGTATTAAATATTGATTGAATATTGATGAATTCTAATTTAATATGTTTACTTAATCGTTTGAATTTTTAGGAGACTAACTCGACCTCTTTATTATGAAGTCGTGAACTGTGAATTAAAAATTTATCATTTAATTCATCACTAAGATCTCATTACTTCTCAACCAAAGCCTCCGATCATAATTTTTTCACAAGCTAAAAATCTATTTAAGTATATATAATAGCAAAAACAAGCAAAAAAATTTCCCCTATTTATAATAATTCATGTCAATACACGATTAAAGTGACAATAATTATTTTATTTACACTTTGTCAGATAAATGTATCTGTTGTGTCAAATTCAAGTCATTCAAATTTAAACATAATTTTACTCATTTATTATTCGTGTTAACATGTCACATTAATCTTAAGTTTTATTGAGAACGGTCAACTTTAATCTATTAATATTGTCCGGTTATGAGTCGTGTGTTATCATATCCTATCTAAAATTCCCGCCTATAGATTTAAGCAAGCCTACTGCATTTACTTATCTTATTTTTTAGGCTATGAGAGGAACATCAAACATCGACATTGACAATGTCCTGGATCAACCAGTCTTGACAGAACTATATTAAACGATTGATACTGTAATTCAACAAGATTTCGCCTCCAGTCCTAGGGTTTTTTGCAACATAATAATCTAAGAGCAATGTTATATGGACTTAAAAACTAGACTTGATAATTATAATCATTGATTTCCCTGTAAGTTCCAACATTTATTTATTTCAATTAACACGTGAAAAAAATGTCAAGAGAAAATAACACGAATTTTAAAACATATAAACACATTAGAAGGGCAAAGATTCATCATTCCTTGTCCCAATAAACCATGAGAACACTAATCAGTCCACGGGCATAAGTATAACGACAGTTACAGTCAAGAGTACATATAGAAGTTATATTAAATATTAGGGCATCAGAAACTTCTGCTATATCTACAAAACTGGATTCGGGAGATGGTTGTTTTAAGTTATATTACCATGATATCCCCCTCACATCTTCAAGTAGTAACTAGATGAGGTCCAGATCCCATCAGAGGAAGCATGCATGAATAAGTGACATACTTAACACTATCTATAAGCACGACAACGAAAATCCGAGATAGGGACTTCGGCCCCATCATGCCTTCACCATCACTGTCACCGGATTCCCTGGGATCGACAAGCACAGATACAACCATTGAAGAAAGAGAATTGTTTCCATGAAAGTTTTCTTTCTCTGGATTTTTGTGCATATGTTCTTTGGTGATGTTGCGAGAGGATCCAGCTAGAGGAATAGGAAGACCTTTGAGGATCCTTCTATTCCTCCCCTTGTTCATGTGCGTGGAATTCTGTTTGTGTTCTGCAGAAACATTTGTCACTGAGGTAGCTGGAACAATGGCTCCTGAAGCTGGTGAGACGTCAAACTGGAAGACTTCAGTGCACATGCCCGAACTTAACAGTGGCCCTGCACAAAAGAACCAAAGTGACATAACGTCCTTGAAAATATGACAGACAAAAAATTAATTCAATCAGTACAAAGAATTGACAGACCTAAAGAAGCATGGACATTAACCAAAAAACCAGCAAGACCAAAAACGTAGAGCATAACCTGACCTAAAGACCCTAGCTTATAACCTTTTCTTTTTTTTTTTGTTAAACACTAGCATACAACCTTCAAAAGACCACAAAGCATGGATATGTAATTTTTCTGATGTCTGATTGAAAATGGGATAGAGGCATGAAATATTTTAATTGACATCTGAATAAATCTTCCTCTTGTTTTGATTGACGATAACAATGGACCACCTAACCCCATTCCCATCTTTTAGATGCCATACAATCACTATTACCACTGTCCCATGCTTCACTATCATTGGTAGATATTAAAATCGGAAATCAAATAAATATAACCTTAGGACCAGTGTATTATCACAAAAGCATCTTATCAGAAAACTACAAAAAATAACATCCATCTCAATTAGAAAGAGAAGGTATTACTCTCCATTGTTACATACTATGGAAAGAAACCCGGGGAATGACTTAATGTCATGTGTCTCAAAAGGGGAGGTCATGTGATGAAACAGTGTCCACCCTAGGGGGCCATGTCCGATAGAGTTTTTCAGGTAATTACATGGTGCAATAGGGGACAGAGGGTGCTAAGGAGGCGGGTGCCATATGAGGCCTGCATACCTCTAGGATTAGTAAACAACAAAACATGGGAGGATTGTACCAATCTTATTTCTATGTAATTGCAGGAAGAAGGACAAAGGAAATGAACAATAAGAAGTTTAAAACACTGAGTAAAGTCAGAGTCTAAAACCAAGCCACATTCAGGTCAATAGTATTTCGCTTTACAAATTGAAAACATATCTCCTCATTTCNAAGCACAGATACAACCATTGAAGAAAGAGAATTGTTTCCATGAAAGTTTTCTTTCTCTGGATTTTTGTGCATATGTTCTTTGGTGATGTTGCGAGAGGATCCAGCTAGAGGAATAGGAAGACCTTTGAGGATCCTTCTATTCCTCCCCTTGTTCATGTGCGTGGAATTCTGTTTGTGTTCTGCAGAAACATTTGTCACTGAGGTAGCTGGAACAATGGCTCCTGAAGCTGGTGAGACGTCAAACTGGAAGACTTCAGTGCACATGCCCGAACTTAACAGTGGCCCTGCACAAAAGAACCAAAGTGACATAACGTCCTTGAAAATATGACAGACAAAAAATTAATTCAATCAGTACAAAGAATTGACAGACCTAAAGAAGCATGGACATTAACCAAAAAACCAGCAAGACCAAAAACGTAGAGCATAACCTGACCTAAAGACCCTAGCTTATAACCTTTTCTTTTTTTTTTTGTTAAACACTAGCATACAACCTTCAAAAGACCACAAAGCATGGATATGTAATTTTTCTGATGTCTGATTGAAAATGGGATAGAGGCATGAAATATTTTAATTGACATCTGAATAAATCTTCCTCTTGTTTTGATTGACGATAACAATGGACCACCTAACCCCATTCCCATCTTTTAGATGCCATACAATCACTATTACCACTGTCCCATGCTTCACTATCATTGGTAGATATTAAAATCGGAAATCAAATAAATATAACCTTAGGACCAGTGTATTATCACAAAAGCATCTTATCAGAAAACTACAAAAAATAACATCCATCTCAATTAGAAAGAGAAGGTATTACTCTCCATTGTTACATACTATGGAAAGAAACCCGGGGAATGACTTAATGTCATGTGTCTCAAAAGGGGAGGTCATGTGATGAAACAGTGTCCACCCTAGGGGGCCATGTCCGATAGAGTTTTTCAGGTAATTACATGGTGCAATAGGGGACAGAGGGTGCTAAGGAGGCGGGTGCCATATGAGGCCTGCATACCTCTAGGATTAGTAAACAACAAAACATGGGAGGATTGTACCAATCTTATTTCTATGTAATTGCAGGAAGAAGGACAAAGGAAATGAACAATAAGAAGTTTAAAACACTGAGTAAAGTCAGAGTCTAAAACCAAGCCACATTCAGGTCAATAGTATTTCGCTTTACAAATTGAAAACATATCTCCTCATTTCTCAAGTGATTTTTGACAACCTGACCTCTCTCTCTCTCATGTGTATTTGTGTGGGCTTAGGGAGGGGGGGGGGGGGGGGGGGGGAATATTCATCATAGTTTCGCCTCATCATTGACAAAGCATACCAGCCTAGATTGAGCTGAATGGGTTGTGAGCAAACAGTTATTCCTTTTATTTTTAGGCTTACAAGTAGTGAGCTAACAGTTTACTCAGTTGCTCCTCCGATTTTTCAGCTGTAAGCCTAAACTCACCGGGAGTTAATTAAATATATGTATAATAATAAATGTGAATTATTCTTTGCACACAGCAACAACTACATTAATACTTGGCTATTTCCTTGTTTTTCATGCTTGAACCTAGAGTGATTATTTTATTTTCATACAGACTGACGAAGTACTGATGAAAGACATCAGCCATGTATAATCACCAAAGAAAACAATACATCAACTAAGAAAGCCAATATAACAGACAATGAGAGATTAAACCATAATTACCTGCAAGGCCTTCCCTGAACCACTGTTGCAGTTTGCCATCAGCTGCTGTAGACTTTAAATTGTCCCTGTCTGCAGAACCAGAAGCAAGAGCCCTATGTCCTTCAGTTGGACTTCTGTACAGGTGAGGATGCCTGCCATTATTTCTTTCCACACCTGAAAGCGGGATAGCCAAATTAGCTGGGACTGCCAAACCAGTCTCACTACCACTCTTCCCTCTTGGATCTTCGCGTGAGGCCATGGCCTTCTCACTAGCCATAACAGAATGAATTATTAAGTTGCCATCAATCTTCACAAGTTTGTCATTTCTTGGAACATACAAAGAGGCGATAAGAGGCTCACTACCATTGCCCGAATGAACAAACTCATCTGAATGAGGCAAGGGGTGTGATCCTCCTCCTTTCTGCTCAGCATTTGCCTCCACTCCTCCACCATTACCTCTCCGACAGTGTGGACTGAGTTTCCCATTAGTTAATCCTATTCCCATGCTATGTTCAGTTCCATTCAAATGCCCACTAACAGTTAATACCCTCCCATGATGCTGAGCATAAAACTTATTACCAACATAATCAGATCCACCAGTAAATGCTTCCCTCATTCCTCCATATCTCACATTCACCATTGGAACCAATGCACCAAAAAGTAATATAAAACATAACAAACCCAGAAAACTAACACTCGCAACCTTCTTAGTCTTACCCTCACTTTTCTTATTCTCCTTTTTTTTTGCGGGTTGTGGCTTCAATCTTGGAATCGGCACCAATGGCACTTGAGACCCTTGTGGCTTCACAACGTAAGGTGGACAGGGCATCCATGGATATGCCGTGGATCCCATTAGCGGATGGGGGTACATCGCCACCCCCGGTGGTGGCATTTGGGGCGGTGGGCACATCCCATGACCCCCCATTTGTTGCTTCAAACTGGCATTTTCAGACATCATGTAGGAAATCTTAGCATTCAGATCTTGAATTGTGGAATGCATGGCCCTCACTTTATCCTCCAATTCCTCCACATAATGCTTCTTTCTTTGCCTAGAAAGATGTGCACTCTCTCGGTTCCTCATCAACCTTGCCTTCCTTTTCTCATCCTCTTCGTTTATCGGACTTTCTACATTATTTGATTTTTGGTATTTGCTTGTTCTAGGTTCACTATATAAATTGTCATTGTCTTTTTTCCTCTTCAATAAATAATTTTTACTACCACTTTCTTCCACTTTAATTTCCCGATCAACAACTCCCTCTGTCGAATTAGTCACAAAATCGGGTAAAAACTTTGCTGATTGAACGTAATTACCCGAATCAGGCGACGGATAATTCAGAGCTTCGGATACATTAGATCCGCAATTCCCCGAACTCTGAGACGAAGTGGGTCCAGAAACTTGCCGATGGCAAGTGGTCGAGCCCTTGTTGCCCGATTCCTGAGAGCACTCGTGGTTGGATTCTCCAGAATCTGACAATGGAGGGTTCAAATAGCCGGAAACATCCAAGCTGTGGTCGTCGGAAGTCAAACGCAATTCCGGCGATGCCGAATTCAAAACCCTGGAGCCCCGATCTCGCGATTCCGACAAGTTTTCGTTCGAATCCCCAGCAGCATTATAGCTCTGATCACTAGAAATCTGACGCAATTCCGGCGAGCTTGAATTCGAAAGCTTAGTTACACCTGAATTATGATCTCCGGATATACGACGCAACTCCCGCTCAGAAACGCGATGATCACACGAGCCGTAGTCAAATTCCGAGTCAATTTTGATGGGATCTAAACCGGGCGGGTCGATTGAACCGGGATTGAGGAAGCCATTGGTATCGGAGGGGAGGTAGAGATCATCAAAGCTAAAGTCGAAGTCAAAGCCGTCAACGACGTCGTTTTCGTCGAATGAGAGGAAGTTGTTGGGATTGTTCTGATCATGATAGAGGTTTTGGGAGAAGAAGGCTGGATCGAGCGGTGGGATTGGGAGGGAGTCGAAGTCAGAGACGTCGCCGTTTGGAGGATCGGCTACCGTTGTGTCCTCCATTGTTGCCTTCGGGTTTTTCTGAGAGAAGAAACAGGGGGTTTTAAAGATTGAATGACCGAAAGCATTCAACAGTAAAAAAAAAAATGAAAAGACTGAAACGTTCAAGATAAAAGCGTGTTTTAGAGAGAGAGAGAGAGAGAGAGAGAGAGAAAGAGAGAGAGAGTTTGGGTGGCTTCTAAACCTTTTTCTTTTATTTTCTGATTCTTATAACCACTATCCACTACAAGACCAAGCGCGTGGGGATGAATATAGTTTAATGGTATATTATTTAAATAATTATATTTATTTGTACTTATACGTGTTTGGGTGATATTATTATTTTGCGGGTATATATGAGATATCTCTATTTTATTTTAAACAAAAAATAGCAATAGACTGAAGATAGGGTCATAATATGAATTGTAGAACAAGTAATAACAAGAAAATAAAGCAAAAATAAAAGAAAAAAGAATTGATTCTTTGGCTCTTGTCTACTAAATATATCTCATGCTTTGGCTAGAAAATATATAGAGCACTACAGAAAAAAAAAAATATATATATATATATATATAATAAAATAGTTTACAATTCAATTCTCAAAAGATAAACAAAATGACTTTTGTCATTCGTGGTTAAGATCACTTTAAATTTTACTTTAAAGTTAATCTAACGACTAATATTAACAACTTAAATTTAATAGGAAAAATAGGCTCTTAAGAGTATGTTTAGAGTGACTTTTTAAAAATAATTCTAAAAATTATTTTTCATAAATATTTTTTTAAAAAATAGTATTTGAAATTGTCCCACCACCACTGCCACTGCCACTACCACCACTGTCGCCGCCACTATCACCACCATCACCGTTTCCCTCGCCACCATTATGGTCATTGTCACCTACCACAACCATCATCATTTTTTACCACTATCACTGTAGCCCACCACCTCTCACGCTCATTATAAATTGATGTTTAAATTTTTTTATTTTTTATTATTTTGTACCTGTAATAACTAGTATATATATATATTGATGGGACTCTTTTGAAATGTCCTATGATGAAGACACGTGTCCTCGGGGTTTGTCAAAACAGTGTTGCTTGGACCAAGCGCCATCGGCGAACGCATGTCCTCGCCCCCGAGGTNGGGCAACTGATGGGACTCTTTTGAAATGTCCTATGATGAAGACACGTGTCCTCGGGGTTTGTCAAAACAGTGTTGCTTGGACCAAGCGCCATCGGCGAACGCATGTCCTCGCCCCCGAGGTACCCTCATACAGGACATGCGTTCAGTATATTGCACAAACGNTATTTGGCAAAAAAAATCTCAAGCCATCTTGGGTTTTATTTAACCCATGTAGATAGGTTAAAGTTGATTTTTCAAACCGAATTAAAATAAAATTCACATAAGATTTTGATGCATTTTTTACTTACCAAAAAATGGGATATATGAGCATACATACTCTTTTATCCTATTTTACTAAAGTTATCCCTCTTTAACCTGTGATTCAAACATATCCTTAGAGTATAAGGTACAACTCTCAAAGGTACAATCGATCTCNTGCCGAGGGTTGCTCCCTCCTGGGCGTTTCCTCTACTCCGAGATAAGCTATTGACATGTAGGTCACTAGCCTAGACTAATCTAGGCCGCTCATCATGACCTCGTCTTACATNCCCCCGAGGTACCCTCATACAGGACATGCGTTCAGTATATTGTACCAACGACACGTGTCCTCGGTCACCCATAAACCTCGGTTGCATACCTCCCTCGGTCCCCGAGATGAGCCTTTCCTCGATGCCGAGGGTTGCTCCCTCCTANACCAATAGGGGATGGACGCGTGGCAGATGGTGTCACATCAGAGACAGACAAACTGCACGCCGCTGTTGACACACTGCTTGGGAAAGCAAACAATTAATGACACCCTNTTCCTCTACTCCGAGATAAGCTATTGACATATAGGTCACTAGCCTAGGCTAATCTAGGCCGCTCATCATGACCTCGTCTTACACAAGTAATGTCAGCACATACCGGAATACAGTAGTCACAGCCAATAAAGGATGGACGTGTGGCAAATGATGTCACATCAAAGACAGACAAACTACACGTCGTTACTGACACACGGCTTGGGAAAGCAAACCATTAATTGCACCCTTCTGTTGACGAGACCGCATTCAATGCGGTAAGGTTCGGATATGAAAGGCAATAAATGCTCCTATTACAGAGCATTTATTGCATCCTTCCCGAAAGGAGCATATTGTACCGTCGGCATCCCGACGACTCAGCATTGATTGCTCGGGACCCCGAGCAGTCAATTAGAAAAGACATTCCTCATCANTAATTGCACCCTTCTGTTGACGAGACCGCATTCAATGCGGTAAGGTTCGGATATGAAAGGCAATAAATGCTCCTATTACAGAGCATTTATTGCATCCTTCCCGAAAGGAGCATATTGTACCGTCGGCATCCCGACGACTCAGCATTGATTGCTCGGGACCCCCAGCAGTCAATTAGAGAAGACATTCCTCATCAAAATCAATACACACGCTACCTATGTCTGATGATCACCTACTGACCACACTGACAGCAATCATGAGCTTTTAAGGTATAAATACTCCTCCCAAAAGGCAAAGCGGGTAGGCAATCAAAAACTCTCCACTACAGTACATTTTTCTCAGTGTTTTCTCATTTCTCTCTCTCACTCAAAGACTGACTAGATCGTCGGAGGGGATACGCCGGAAAACACTCCGGCGCCCTTCTAACTTGTTCCTCTTTATTCCAGGAAAATCTTTCACACGTACAGGAATGTTCTTCCTTTCCCAGGATCTTCCGTTGCCGTTCCAGTTTACTNTATATATATATAAAGCAAAAATAAAAGTCATATAATGTTTGTGAGTTTTCCTAGGAAGTTACTATGGTGTTAGTATGCTATTCATTTAATAGTGTTTGTTTTTTTTATTAGAAATAAAGTTTATTTTCCTATGTTTTTTTTCTAGGAAAAAAAGACACTCCACAAATTTTGGAACACTACTAGCGCATAAACGTCAAGCGGTTGAACTGCGAGTGGTTGATTTTCAGATGGTAAGAGAAGTGATGATATTTTCTGGAAACCTCCCGCTTTGACTTTATAGCTGAGTGCCCTTTCCGTTACGGCATGACGCAGGCTAAGCCCTTGATGCACGCTAAGGTAAGACTCTGTTTTTTCATTTTTTGGGTCGTGGGGAGAGGTGGGGGGTCTCATGTAAATTCTAAGTAATTTAACGTTCAAATTAAGAGCATAATACAAAAACAAATAAATAAAATATGCAAATCAGCTGAATTGTAGAGACCCAAAAACACTAAAAATAATCACTAATACTAAACATTCAGTTGCAAACCAAACACAATTTATATATTTTTTTAAAAAAATATTCAATTAATAACAAAAGGATCATGTAAATTTATAATAAATTATAAAATGATGCTTGTGTATTTAAATTTTTTTTTTTAACATATTTGAATGGTGTCCATAACATGTTCATAGCAATTTTGGTATAGATATATATGAAAATAATAGGGTGACACCAAAACTTATATTTGAGGGGTTTTTTTTGTTGCTAAGAATGTACAAGCTTATGTCGACTACTCTCTTGAGCTTTGAATTGACTATCATAACTTGAATTACTTTAAAAACATATCCTGAAAGGAACAAGGGTGACTGGACCTTAAAGAGTGTAAAAAATATCGGGCCTAAGACATCACCTGAGACATCTTTATTGCAAAAAGATAAGTTTGACCACTGAACTATTCCTAAGATTTAATGTATTTAATATATGTATATACAAATGTATATGAACAATTTCTTAAAATTATTTGAGAGAAAACCATGACCACCCTGGGCCAAGGGTGGCTCCCGCCATGGTATAATGTGAAAAATCTAATAGTTTAGAGTATAAAATAACATAAATCTCATATTTTAAGAGAACAAAATGAAATTAACCCTTTTTTTTTTTGGAAATTGGAACATTAGGTGAAAAAATTAGGTGAAATCATGAAAGAATTGGTAAAAAGTTTCTATGTTATGGCCAAGTCCTACCGGGAAATAGTGCTGTCTTTTTTTTTTTTTTTAACAGTTTAAATGGGCAGAGGTAGGTGAGGTTTGAACCCGACCCTTAGCTCCAACAGTGGGATGGTTTGTCATTATGTCACCACTGAATCCTCAATGTCTTTGGATATGCCTTCCCAAACACGGTGGGTGGCATGTAGCATAGAATATATGCCATTGGATAATGTCCTTGTCCTTTACCTTCTTTTTTGTCACCTTTACATTGTATGTTTGGATTGTTCTAGGAGCATTTTTAAATATAACTTAAATTTTTACTTAAATTTAAATTAATATTTGAGTAAAAAATTTAATTTGATATAAAAGACTTCAATAAATAAATTCAAATTTAAAAAAGAATAAATTCAAATTTAAAAAAGTAGATATTCAAATTTAAATGAGGGCAAACCTAAATTTAAAAGAGAGTAAAGATGATATTGGACCTTTAAAAGAGGGTGAAACCTCATAATTAAATATTTGAATAAGGATTTGAGTCTCATTTAATATGAGTAAAAAATTGAGTCTTCTTTAATTTAGTATAAATTTGAGTCAAGATTAGAACAAATTTTTTTATATTTTTTTACTCAATTTAAATTTGAGTAAGAATTTGAAATGCCCTAAGAGATAAAAATGAGTAGGAGAGGACAAACTTTATCCAATGCCTTTTTTTTCATTGTTTGTTTTCTATTTGGAGGGGGAGGGGAGGGTTTGGGTTTAAACCTCCTCTTCTTCTTAAGATCGTTTTATGTGCAAAACGATGTTATTTTGAAGAATTGTGAACTATGTTCGAATAGATAATATAATCCAATTTTGCCCAATTCGTCCATCCAAAAATTTCCTTGAGTAAAAGTTGTTTCTTATACTGCTCTGGTGCTTCTAAATTAATCCACTTTTCATCTTATAACATCTATCTTACCTCTACAAGATTAAAAAAAACATTAAAAGAAAAGTTGCTCATTAAGTTCCCTACCCCTCCACTTCCAACCACCACCTCCACCATCTTCATCAATGTCCTTCCAACTAGGTTGATCAATGGGTCGGATCTGAATTGGGTTCCAGTCAATCTAAATATGATATTCAATTAGAAACTTTGATCTGAATATTAAATATTC